CTACTATTGTTAAGAAAAAGAGAAAAGATATAATATTTTATATAGAAATATAATCTTTTAGAAAGATGCACCAACCAGTTTCCAGTTGTATAATTTTTGACCAATATTTCTATTTTTGGCAATTTATCTTTCATAAAAAATTCATATACTGCCAGCTGTGGCAGCATATATCTGGGATCCAGCAATGGAGAGGCTGAGGCAGGAGCACTGCCATAAGTTTGAGCCAGCCTGGGCTATATAGCAAGATCCTGTCTCAAAAAAACAAACCAAACCAACAAACAAAAACTTCATAAATATAGGCAAAGTTAAAGTACGTAAAGATGCATACTCCAATATATTTACAAAAAGAAAATGTGTCCTAAGTAGGAAAAAAAAGGTTTCAGACATTCATGTAATGATACACACAGCCATTAACAATGAAATGATGTCAGCTAGGTGTGGTGGCACATGCCAACTCTCAGAAGGCTGAGGCAGGAGGATCCTGTGAGTTCGAGACCAGCCTGGGCTACATAGTGAGTTCCAGGTCAGTCTCAATTACATAGTGAGACTCTGTCTCAAAAAACAACAACAAAAAAAAAAACAATGAAATGATGTCTACATGTCATAATGAATAGATGGCTATGATATTTTAAGTAAAAAAAAGCATATGAAATATATTCAGTATGGCTGACACTTACACAGGTATATATATGTATGTTAAGGTATATATGTACTCATTTACTTAAAATGCTTAAACTCTAGAGAGCTATATAGCCAATCACTAACAATGTTATCATTAAAATAGAGAAGTTGGGAAAGTGGATGGTGTTTATATTTTGAAAGTTTCTATATTGTTTGAATTTTGCAAGCAACATACATTAATTTTCTTTATAAAATTTTCTTACATTGAACATGGTGACACACTCCTATAATTCCAGCACTCTGGGATGCTGAGGCAGGAGGACTGCAAATTTGAACCCAGCCTGGGCAACTTAATGATTTACCAAGAACCTGACTCAAAATTAAAAATAAAAAAGAATGGAGAATACAAAGGTCCTAGACCCAATCCCCAGTAATGCAAAAGCAAAACAAAACACTTTTTTTCCTTTAAAATAATGAACTAGAGGCCAGGGATTTAGCTTAGTGGTGCCACTGCCTGCCTTGCAAGCGCAACAGACCTGAATTCGATCCCCAGTACAAAAAAATAAATAAATAAAATAATGAACTATCCATGTAAGGGCTTTTATAGGGTATACTCTATTTGGCAGTAAAAATTAAAAAAAGATATTCACTTTGTTCAAAACTAATTTCCCAACTAAATACAAACAAATATCAAGGTTACTTGAAGCTGGGGATATAGCTCAGGGCAGAATGCTCGCCTAGCAAGATGGGAGATCCTAAATTTGAGATAAAGAGACAGATATCCTTTTTTACTGCCAAATAGAGAATGCCAGGAAAGTCTTTATATGAACATTTTATTATTTTAAGGGAAAAGTTTTTTTGGATGAAGATTTTTTTTTTTTTTTTTGGTACCGGGGATCAACCTTGGGTCCTTGCACTTGTGAGGCAGGCAGTGAGCTAAATCCCTGGCCCAGGAAAAAGTTTTCTTAGACTGGACCCATGAGGAAATAAATATTTTACTCAAAGTAGTAGGTTTCATGTATCTAAAAGGAAGATGGCCCCTGTGACAAACACAAAACAAACCTCAATTAGTAAAGACCAAATCTTATCGCTTCTCGGCCTTTTGGCTAAGATCAAGTGTAGTAAAGACCAAATCTTAAATACTATAATAGTATCTTAAACCTTAAATACTATGATAATATTTTTACTAAATTGTTGCTGTATCAGTTAGTGAGAATAATCTATAAGCCACTGAAAAGATTTTGCAGCAGTTAACTCAAGTCAGGGGATGGTGAATTCAGGGTCTTTTATAGCCCACATGATAATTTCTGTAGTATTTAAATTTTCTTTAATTTATCAAAGGTTAATAATATATAATATATTGACAACAGTTGCGGAAACAGTCAGTGCCTAGCTACTGTTAACAAATTTCTCCATGTAGCTTATTTTTAATTCTAAATGTTAGTATACTGTCAATACAAATTACTTACTTTTCCACCAACGTCTGTACACATCCCTTCCAGGAAGGCATTTGCAGGGCAAGGTCTGCTATTGCTAAAGCCAGCTGAATAAGAGAAATCAAATAAATAAATATGAAGGATGAACAGAACAGGGTTGCTGTCAATGTTAACTAGAAAGCAAAGAGACTAAATTTCTCCAAAACAGTATAGCAAGATGGATATCACCTTCCTTTTATCCTCAGAACTATATACTGTATACATACATCTCATGCAAGTGCGTTAAGAATAGTTACAGATTCCTGGGATTTAAATATTAACCTTTTAAAAAAATTTAAAACAGTAACAAAGGAGGTCAGAAAATCTACAGTACAGATCTTTCTTAGAATTTATTAGTATACCCAGCTGTGGTAGTGTATCCCTGTACACCTGCTACTCCAGAGGCTCAGGCAACAGGAGCAAGAGTTTGAGGCCAGCCTGAGCAACTCAGCCAGATCCTGTCTCAAAATAAAATAAAAAGAGCTGTGGATATAGATCAGTGGCAGAGTACTTGCTTAGCATGAACCCTGGGGTCAATCCGCAGTACTTAAAGAAAACAAATCAAAAAAGACTATAACCATACTTACTTTTATCTGGCAATACTATAGTACTTCATGGACAAATAAATATTACTTTGCCAAAAGGCCAAAGCTAGTGACAAAATGAAACCTTTGTCTCAGTCCTCAAGTGATGCACTGTCATTTCCTTGCTCTTTCCATTTCTCATCTTGAAGCCTTATACAAAAGCCTCCTCAAGGACAATTCTGTGCCAGGCAGAGAATACATGGGAGTATGTATTCACCAAAGCTTCCAATTTTCTTTTTCTTCTTTCTTTTTTTTTTGAGACAGGGTCTTACTATGTAACTCAGGCTGGCCTTTAACTCACTGTGTAGTCCAAGCTGGCCTTGAACTCTTGGTGATTCTCCTGCCTCATCCTCCCAAGTGCTGAAACTACAAGCATGCACCATCACACCCAACCACTATTCTTTTCTAATATATTTCCCCATCTAAATAGGAAAAGCCAAAAAAATATGAGAAACTGAAAAAATGGAAATAAAGTGTTTGTAAATGGGGAGGGGAGGAGGGGGTGAAGGGAGGGCAGAGACAAGGGGAAAAAAATGAGAATCAAGATATATTATGTAAAGGTACAGAATCCCAATGATGAATGTAACTGTACTGTATACCGAGATTGTACCAATAAAGTCGATTAAAAAAAAGAGAAGAACTATGGTGATTTCTGTTTTCTGTAAAAAGCCAGATTCCTGGTTCAGTTTTATTCATGTAACTTTTATTAGCCAATCAGAAAAAAATTTAAATTATTGGCCCAGGAAAGATTTTATTAGCTAAAAAATAATTTTTTTAAAAGACAACTCTAAGGGCTGGGGATATAGCAGTGGCACTGCACCTGTCTGGCAAGCTCAAAGACCTGAGTTCAATCCCTGACACCAGGGGAAAAACAAAACAAAAACCTCCAGGGCCGGGATTTAGCTCAGTGGTTCCGCTACCTGCCTTGCAAGCACAAGGACCCAAGTTCTATCCCTGGTGCCAAAAAACAAAAAAAAACCCTCCAACCCAGCCATAGCACAGAATTTTTTTTGTCATCTCCACTTTTAACAGCAGGGGGCACATACACAATCGACTTTCCAACTTCTAGTACTTAAATTAGTTTAAAACCTAATGAACTCAAAGATTAATGTAAAAGATGAAAATTGTCACTTTTTATGCACTTATAGCAAATTCTCTATAAAGTTAACAGTATTTACATGGCCTAGCAACACTAATCAAAACAAATTAGATAAATCCAAATGACTTTTTATAAATTTCTATGAGAAGCATAGGATTTACCTGTGTTACAATGACAGGTGACAAATCTTTCAAGTTCTGTATATGGGTTAGCAATGAGTCCCTTAAAGAGACATGAGAGTCTGTAGGGAGCTCATAAAATGAGGTCTGAATCTTCATCTTCATGGTTTGTGCAGCAAAATAGCATGATTCCACATCCTGCCGGATCTGTAACAATTGGTCAGAAATTTCCCATGCATGAACCTAAAAGAAAATTAGACAAAGATATCTTTAAAAAGATTATTTTTCTAAATAATTTAAATGCCATATAACTTCAATATATATATAAATTTATACAGAAATACTCAACAAACGAATTGATGTATCACTAATAATACCAATGTCTTCCTTTAGATATATTTTTTTGAGCCACAAAATTTTTGGCTATTATCATAAACCAGTAACCCAAGCACATCTATGATTTAATATGCCATCAAAATATCTTTATTTTGTGCAAAGTGATCTTTTTAATAGCAAAAAGATCTATGAAGTTTTAGAATCTACAAATACCCTCAGAAACACACAGAGCAATTGGCAAAACCAAAACACTAATGGACATTTACAACAAAACTAAGTCATATCCACTTATCTCCAAGGATATTTCCAATAACCCCAAAATGTACGTGGGCGAGAACCAACCAGACCCTTGTGGCTTCCGAACAAAAAGACAACAGGCGATTCAATGTAGAGCACAAGAAGCCAATGTGAGGACTGAAGGTGAAAACGTAAGGTTCCACCAAATCCAACAGCAGGTCCTGTGTACTGTAAAGTATGAAGGGGACTGAAAAATTTAGCTTCTAAAAAACCTTGAACTAGAGTCTGGGAAATACCCCAAACTGAGAGACTGCCACTAATGAACAGAAACAAAACTATACAAAGTATAGTTTGAACAGTATCAAAATTATGCAAGTATAACAGAGATGAAGGAAAAAAAGAAGATAACAAAGCTAGGAAGTCTCAGAAAGCAAACCACTGTATTTGTAACTACTACCTGAAAATAACCACAAAAGACCTATGAAGTTGGATATACTACATTAACCCAGGCTTCTAAAAGTTCACAAAATGCATACCTGTAATCCCAGCACTTGGGAGGCTGAGGCGGGAGGACTGCCCAAAGGTTCAAGGCCAGCCTGGGCTACATAATTCAAGGTCAGCCTGAACTACACAGCAAAACTCCATTTCAAAAATAAATTTTTTAAAGCAAAAAGCACAATAAAAGTTCAGAAAAACTAAGTTCATAAAAAATAAGCAAGTAATCAGAAAAATAAATTGAAAAACTAACCTATTTTTTTGTTTGTTATCGTTGTTTTGAGACAGGGTCTCACAATGTAGTTCAGGCTGGCCTTGCATTGGCCTTGAACTCATGGCAATCCTCCTGCCTTATAGCCTACTATTTTCAAATGAGCTAAAAGACACTTAGAAGCCGGGGATTTAGCTCAGTCGTTCCAGTGCCTGCCTCACAAGCACAAGGACCCAAGTTCGATTCCCAGTACCAAAAAACAAACAAACAAACAAACAAAAAAAAAAAAAACCTCATACAAGACCCTGAGAAAATGATATAGGTATGACTAAACATATCTGATAATATATCTAATAATATATTAAGAAAAAGCGAAAAGGTGCTTTTAATAAATAAAAATGTTTAAAAATATTGTAAGATTCAAGTGCAAGTGACCACTATGGTTTGGATGTGGTCTATTTCCCAAGGATTCATGTGTTGGAGGCTTGAATGGCAATGGAAAACGGTTTAGCTCAATGGCTGAGTCTTTGCCTAGCATGACTGAGGCCATGGGTTCAATACCAGCACAAGATGGGAATAAAAAGGGCTGGCCAGACTCAGGAAATGGGGAGCCTAATGAGAGGTTGTTACAAGCTCTGCACCTCTCTGACTGCCTATCTCACCATGTGCTCTCTCCCTCTCACATACAGTCTCCCATGAGGTCTCTAATAGGGCCCAGCTCCAGTGAGTGCAAGCACTGTGCCCTTGAACCATCAGGGGTGTGAAGTAAATAGACTCTTTTTCCTTATAAAGTAGTCAGCCTTAGATTATCTTCATTACAGTAACAGAAAACAGATCAAGACAGTGACAAATCTTGAAAATAGGCAAAATAGATCTAAATCTAATATATAAACAAAAGTCCCTAAATAAAATTTTTAAAAGAAAATTATTGAAAACCACAATTCAAGACAACATTCCTAAAATTTGGGGGGTAAAAAAAATAAAATTATGCACTGAAAAACTATCATGTACCTAAGAGTATTAAACTCGAATAACCAATATTTAGATGCAATTCAGTAAAATTATTACACTCCAAGAAAAATAATTTTTAAAAAGAAAAATAATAAAATAACCTGAGTATATCTAGATAAAAAGAACAAATGACTGCAACATTTTATGGCAGAAGAAAATGAAATAGCATAATGAAGATACTAAGAAGAAATATGTGGCAAGAATTTATCCAGTCGAACTAATTTTCAATTGTAAAAACCACAAATTTTTACATGCAACAATTTAAGCCCAGCATGGTGGCACAGCCTGACTACAGTGAGACCCTGTCTTTAAAAAGCCAAAAAAGAATCCAGATTATTATTACCAAGATCCCTTCCTAAAAAAATCTTAGAACAAAACAAAATAAAGAGTTTCATACAAGCAAAATGACGAGAGATGAGATGCCAACATAAGGACTAGTGGTGAACGTTAAACATGCAGTTTACAAGGACAACTTAAACTGAAGAAATACATATTAATGTTTGCACATCTCAGAGTTTATAGCACAACTACTAAAGAATGAGGGAGAGGGCCAGGGATGTAGCTCAGTGGTTCTGCCACCTGCCTCGCAAGCACAAGGTCCTGAGTTCAATCCCCGGTGCCAAAAAATAAACAAACAAACAAAAAACTAAAAAGGAAGCTTAAAGGTTTGGGGCAACCCATTTTCCACATCCTCCTTCCATCTCTCTTAGAAGCTTTCTTTCAATAAAATTTTCCTACTCTTCAAAAAGAAAGAAAGAAAGAAAGAAAGAAAGAAAGAAAGAAAGAAAGAAAGAAAAAAGAATGAGGGAGAAAGGCTAGAGTATATACAAAAAATAAACAACTTTTCAGAATTTATATTGGTGATGGCAACAGTAGTACTATTCATGTGAGGCTACCCCATGTTAATATGGAATAAAGCAACTGAATAGTTATGGGATAATCTAACTCTACCAACTTCTGCATCCTTGAGATTCTGGATCTTACAATGGAAGAAAAAACTTATACATAATATAGAAAGGCTACAGACAAAAGCCTTGCAGTACTAAATTTTAATCAAAAATATCTGTATGGGGCCGGGGGTGTGGTCTAATGGTATAGCATGTTCATACCATGCAGGAGGCCCTGGTTCACTTCCAACAGGGAGGAAGGGAGAGAGAGGTCAGGTAGGCAGGCATATATAAATTCATGAGGTACATTATCTTTAAAAATTCCCTGTATACCTATGATTTATATACCTACTTATCCACACAATATATACATACACACAAATACATGCACATGTACACAATATATATAATTTATACATTATACATAACATAACTTCCTAGATCTATTATCTACTAAAAGTCCTAAATACACTCTCCTACCCAATAACAATTTGCATTCTCAGTGCCTACCTTGTGGACTTTCAATTTTATTTCCCACTAAAAGGAAGAAACAGGAGAGTCAAGGTCTAAAGAAGGCAACATACAGTGATAAGCCATCTTGTCACACTAGACAGCATGGAAAATGAAGACTACTAGAGTCATTTCAAAGTACTGAGAAGCCAATTTAGCGAGGCTTATTTGTGAAAGACAAGACAAATAAGTCATCAGCAAGGAATTTAAATCATTACATGGAGACATGGTGACCACTATGAGTAGACATAAACTCAGTATCTTACAAGGGAAGAACCAAACATTTATTTTGGTTTTCCTATGTAAATTGTACCACTACGTAACTCAATAGGAGATGAGGAAAAGGGTCTCTTTATAATAAAAATGTATTCTAGCAAATAGGTTAAAATGAAATGACAGAGCATAGTACTATTCAATAGAATATAGAACTATTCTGTAACCCACAAACAATGGGTTGAAGCATTGAGCAACAATTGATCCAATCACCAAAACAAAACAAACAAAAAACAAATGGAATAAAGATAACTGCAAATTCAATGCTATTTCTACTGTGAAGGATAAAATCTATTTCACTTCCCCTTTAATCTGGGTTGGCCTTAGATAACTCATATAATTGACAGAGTAAGACAGAGTGACTTTCTGGGATATCTGAGGTTAGGTCCATAGAAGCTTTGGAATTTCTGCCTTGGTATAATCAGCATTACTATACTTGGAGGAGAGCCAACTACCATGTAAAAAGTCAAGACTACTACTAGAGAGATGTGGAAAGGCCCAAGGCTACAGGAAAATCAAGAGAGGCCCAACTGAGTCAACCTTCTAGCCACTGCTGCCACAGAATGTCAAGCACTTGTATGAAACTGTTGTCTTAGAACCTCCAGGCCAGCCCAACTACCAAATGGATGCCTCAAAGAGCAAAATCATAATCCACTGAACCCTGCTTGAATTTTCGACCCACAAAGTTATAAGACACAATAAAGTGGTTTTTGTTTTAAGTCACTAAGTTTTGGGGTAATTTGGTTCATAGTACTGTACTATATAGTAGGTAATCAGAACAACCAGGCAATCAGATATGTACCTCCTAAAGAAAGAAAGCAATAACAAAACGACAGAGATCAATTTCTGTATCTCATCTAGTCTTTGGATCCAGCTGCCAATTTGCAAGAAATACAGTGGTCTGTCAAGCGTCCTTGGGGAGTGGATCCAGGATCACCTCGGAATACCAAAATGTGTAGATACTCAAGCCCCTTATATAAAATAGGAATTTTTGCTTGTTTGTTTGTTTTTGTTTTTTGAGACAGGGTCTCACTACGTAGCTGAGACTGACCTGGAACTTACTTTGTAGTCCAGGCTGGTCTTGAACTCATAGCGATCCTCCTGCCTCAGCCTCCTGAGTGCTGGGATTACAGGCGTGAGCCAACACGCCCGGCCTAAAACAGGATATTTGCATATAACTCACAAATCCTCTGACATACTTTAAATCATCACTAGATTATTTATAATGCTTAATACAGCGCAAATGCTTGTAAATAGTTGATATGCTAAATAAGAAAAGTCTG